TGTAGAACCGCTGGACTTGTGCCAGGGTCTACCAAAGTGACTTATCGTCCTGGCCCCCAAAACTGGGGTAAAATTGATTGGTCCTAAGAGGAACTGGGCGGCGAGATTCCAGGATCTGGGCGACCCCTTCAAGACGTAACCAGTCCTCTACCTCTGCAATCCAGCAGAGTTCCCTGTCAGAACGCCCCTCTGAGCGGATGGTTTTGATGCCGAGTTGCCTGCACTCGTTCAGGATGTCAGAACGGTCGTCGATGAGACAATGTGCCTGAAGAGCGGAGATGATAGAGGATTTGCCCTGCCTACCGCAAGGATAGCGTGCCAGGTGCACTTCTCTAAACGGCAAACCTTCCGCAATGAGCTGGCTAATCACGTGCTCAGCACCGGCCTTGGTGCTGTCAATCTTAGATTGGCCGGCGTATGAGACAATGTGGAACTCAATTTGATTACCAGCAATCCTAGTCAATGACCGAAGCTTATCAACTAAGTGGGAAGACAATTCACCTACGGGGTTGAGAGCCTGGTCAATGGTATCGTGCCAGTCGATACAAACAACTACGTTGGATGTATTAACGTGGACTACCTTAGAGACTAAGTTGGGTTGGTGCTGGTAATGTCGCGGCACAGAGCCAGCGACCCCCTCTGGCCGATCTGGTGTTGGGTCAGGTAAAGGCCGCCCACGGACGTGGGGTGCAAGGCCGGAACCTGAGCTTTGCTCTTGATGCGGCTGCTGCTGTCCTTCGGGATCAAGTGGAGGAAGATCTCGGGACGGTTGACCAGCAGGTCTTGGCCCCCCAATTCCTGGCGGAGGAGGTTTTACAGGCTTAAGACTAGCTGGATTAGGGGGAACAGGCCTATTAGGTCTTGGGGGAATTACCACAGGTGCCGCGGGTGCAGCAGGTGCCACAGGTGCAACGGGTGTCGCAGGCCCAATGTTCACAGGTGGATGTTTCCAAGGCAGATTCTTCTTTTTCTCTGGAGCTGGTGGCAACGGTTCAGGCCTTTGGGGCGTGTCGGGGACAGCAGCCCCCTTTGCACGGATTGGCACAGGAACGGAACTAGCTCTTTTGCGAGACTTAGATGAAATCTTATTGGAAATTGGTACTTCCCTTCCCCTTGCTCTGGCAGCAACTGCGGGCGCAGTTTCGGCTGAGGGTGCTCTTGACCTGGATCGCGCAACGGGAGAGCCGGCTGGCTCCGATGCAGTCTCTGTCGCGACACGGGCTGTGTCAGCGACCCCAGTTCCAGCACTTTGCAAAGACTGCCTCCAGGGATAAGCTGAACTACTAGAACCGCTTAATGGGGGAACAGTCAAAGATGGTACTGTTGGGGCTGCAGGTGGTGGCGCAGCAGAAACCGGATCTTTTCTGGGCTGTGCCGGCTTATCACGTTGGATTCGGGAGGTTCTTATGTTAGGACGCTGTCTCTTTGGTGGAGACTCAATTGGACGGGCAGGGGTGCGCTCAGCGAAGCCAGCGTCGAAAGGTTCTTGCTGGCCGACAAATGCCTGACCTGATGAAACAAACCTGGCGGTTCGAGTCTCAGCAGTTTCAGAGCCCTCAGATTCGGTACCGGGGTTATTGGTGTCAAGATTATAAACACTATTGGGGTCTAAGTTACTTGAACCAAGAACAGTCCGATGGGATCTAAGTGCAGGATCACGCCACAACGAGTCGGGAAGCTCGTGTGGGTTGACCCCAAGCTCTGGTGCCACGGCGTGAGGCACAATGAACGGCAAAGTCTGCGGCGCGTACCAGGTGCCAGCGGAGTCAATTCTAATTTCGGGGTAACCGTGCACTTGAGGTCTTAAAGCAAGAGGTCTCCTAGAAACACCGGTTATGGTTCGGGCTCTATAAAGTTCTTGATTAAGTTCAATGCGTTCACGGGTTTCCCTTGGGACTAGATTGACAGGCAATGGCGGATTGGACCTAGTTCTTTTAGGCCTACGACGGCGCGTGGAAACCTCACGGCCGTGCTCTGTTGGTGCAAAGTCAGGGAATTCGGGTTCAGCTTCGGCCTCAACCTCAACTTCAACCACTTCGTCCTCCTCCAAAACTTCCTCTTCCTCTTCCTCCTCCACCCACTGCTCCTCTTCAGGCGGTGGATCGTTGGGATCCTCCGGAGCAGCCTCTTCTCGCGCCTCTGCTGGCTGGGGATCGCGGGCAGCGAGCTCCTGTGCAGTTGGCGGCGGATGAGATGGTGGTGGTGGTAAAGGTGGTTGTTTATGAAGGGTCGGACTAGGGGGAATGTTATTAGGTGGAGGTGGCAAACCTTGAATTCTATCTGCAAGGGTTGTGGCACTAGAATCAGGAGCTTTAGGCCTAGCCTTAGCTGGTGGCTTAGCAGGGCTAGCAGCTGGGACTGGTGCTACGTCGCGCCCAGAGGCAGCGACCCCTTGAGAATCTGACTTTGGGGCTTGTGGGACCGGATGGACAGAGACAGTAACCCTTGGACGCGGTGGCACTGCTGGCTCAGGTGGCCTTCTCAACGAAGGTTGCCAGTTCGGCGGTGGATGCCCAGGCTCTTTGGGTCCTTGCTGGACCGGAGTAGGATCTGTGCCTCCACTTGCCGCGCCAGCAACGGGTGTTGCGGCAGCAGGCCTTACCACTTTTGGACGGGGTTGCTGCTGTGGGCCTACGTATCTATAATACCTATCCCACTCTTCTGGGCGCGGGTGCTCTGCCCCTAAGATGCGTTGATTGATGATCCTTTTTGGGGGTAGTTCACCAGAGTTTATCACTTGCTCAGCGTGTGATGTACCTCTACGCCTGTCCAAACCGTAGATGTGAGCCCACTCTTTATAAGGGATGAGGATCTGGTAGGCCAAAGCTAAACACTGTGATGTTGGGAACTCCTCAACAAGTCTTGAATGAAGAGCTATCAACCAGCGAGTGCTTTCGTCGGCGTATTCGTAAGAAATCTTTCTTAACCAAAAGCCACCTACGATATCCCCTCCAGAGTTATGGTAAAGCCAATTTTGGTATGCCTCGAAGTCGTTCCACCAAGCTCGCTTTGCTTCTTGCCACCTGGTTGTGGTACCACCCCTGCTGGATCGAACCCTTGGTCGATGGGCTGTTGATGAACTAGCGGGGGAATGTCCTACTTGGATAGGATCGGCACCTGGGTCAACAAGATTAGGGCTAGTTGGTGGTGGGACTATTTGATCGGGGCAACTAGTGTTGGCTTCTGTCGCGACACCGGATGTGTCAGCGACCGCAGGCTCAGGCACGGATGCAGATGGTTCGGATGCAACGGATGCTTCTCCTACTGGACCCGCCTCGTCACCTAAACCTAAAAGATCAGCTGTCTCAGCTTCTGGATCGGCTTGCTCAGCAAGAGGCAACGGCTCACCTGCAGGACGGTCTTGACCTTCTTCCTTCACACGATCTAAATCAGCAAAGGCGGCTTCAGCTGGAACTTCGTTGGGGTCAGCCTCAACCTGGTCAAAAGCTTGGTCTGCAGTGTCCGTCGCGACTTCGTCAGCGACCTCTTCTGGCACTCCAATCACAGAAAGAACGGCACCCAATGTTGTAGCCTCTTGGAACTCCTCCTGCTTCACCTCCAACAGATGTCCTTCGGCTCGATCTGTGTCAGCTACTGCAGATGTTCCCTCAAGAGACGGCTCGGGCGCAAAAATATCCTCAGATGCGTCTGCCCAGGAGACGACAGGTTCGAACGCAACTTCCACAGATTGGGGAACAGTCTGCTCAACCCTCTCTGCGTCCGTCGCTCCCTCTCCTTCGTCCGCTGGTGCTTCGGTCGCGAGTAACTCAGCGACCTCCTCAGACGTATCTGTGGGCATGCAAGTGTGACAGCGAAAAGATGAATGCGATGTTAGGGCCTAAGCAAGTTCCAAAGAATTAGGTTCCCTAACACAAAGCCTTACGGCTGATAACCAGTCAAACAGGGGGAAGAACCGGACACCCCAAAAGAAAAGGGAACCCAATTCCCCGGACCCTGCATGAAACAACAACCAAATGCTCCCTTTTGCACGGAGCACTTGAGCCATGCCGCAAGCAGCGGAAGTTTCACCCCGACCCGGTGGTTGTTGGGTTAGGGGAATCCCTACTATAAACATGGCTACCCTACCTACCTAACGCGTCTAAGCAGGTGGTGCTATTTCTGTACATATTGGGATGTATCTACTTGGAACTACGTTGGTACTCATAGCTACGGCATGCCTACATACGACCTACTACCTATGCTATACATAGTGGGGCTCAGGGGTCGGTATATTTCAACTATCATAATATATATATATATAATATATATATATATAATATATATATATATGAGCAGGGACCCCCACACCCCTCCCCCCCCCAGCCAGATGGTTCCCCCCCCCCTGTGGCAGGGGAGGGGGGGTTTTCTCAGCAGCCAAGCCGATTGTTGCTGGAGGAATGGTTTCTTGGCCGACATGTGTATATATATATATATATATGTACATGTATATATATATGTACATATATATATATACGTGTACAGTATGTACAATGTAAACGAAATATGTGATAGATACAAGATCAAGATATCAATATGTAGTATCTAGAATGTGCATATATATATATATGTTTTTCTACTGTACATATGTCTAGGTTTGCATAGGTAAGCTTTGCGTAATCCATAGGTAGCAAATATGTTGTAAACCATTTGCGAGGCACGCTATAGGCGGTTCGAAACAAAGGTTATGATAGAAATATACATGTAGACAAGGTCCGTTGACGAGGTCGTGGCTCTCAAGTGCTGCAAATAACGTAGAGATGCGAGGTTGGAGGGGTGGAAAGGGGAGTATATATGTGTATATGTGTATGTATATGTGCAAATAACATGCAAATACTAGGTTTTGGGGGGGTGGGGGGGGTTAGGAGTGGGGGGGGATACCATTGGGGGGGTGTGGGGGTCCGGGGACCGGGCTCATATATATATATATATATATATTCAGCAAATTTGGGACCAAGTCCAACTGGGAGAATCTGAAAATGACTTCATCGATCCCATGGCGCCTCTTCCAATAGATCCCTCCGCTGACTCGCTTCAAGAGCGGCTCCACTTCAGCTGGCGCCTTGGTTCCAGTACGGTTCTGCAAACTTCTATCTGTTTGGGGGTTGCTATTTTATGTGTACATATATGTCATATGAGTCATAATGTCATATGTATGTATATATATATATACATACATGTGTGTGTGTGTGTCACTTCCGTTGTTTGTGATGTAGATGTTATGCGCAATTAGAAGAATTTGGCTACTTGATATTGTACATTAAAACTGCTAGTTTACGGGTAAACCCCCTTTTCAGACACCCCCACATAGTATATGTACACACATACATCCTCCCCATGCAGGTTCAATAAACATCCGCGGGCCTGCTTGGCAAAGCCCGAGAGGTTCGCACTCAGCTTGCTCCACGCAAACTTCTGGCGTGCAGGCGAGAAGTCTGAAGCTTCGGCTTGGGGACTTTGGGAACCCCAGAACAATCACTGAGTTCATCATCAAAAAATGTAGGTTTCACCATCAAACATGGGGGGGTGCACAATTCAAAATATGTGTTCTCTTACCATCTTACCATCAAACATGGTGATGGATATGTGTTCAAACCTCGACGCTTTCAGAATGGCCATGGGTCGATTTCCTTACCGCGAACAAAGTGACTCTGAGGCCTCATGTTTTGCCCCGCAAAAATTGTGTTCATCTACATCTACCAGCATAGGGAGAATCCACCTATTGATAGAGCACATTTCCTGGTGACACCATGCTTGTTTTCCACGGTTTACACGAAAATTTACTGGAAGGTGAGCCGGAAAATTCTGGCACATGTCGCAGGAAAAAATTCATGCGGCCGGGTGTCCCGTAGGGACCTTCCCAGGCCAAGCTTCTGGGTATCCAGGGCACTTCTTGCTCTTTACAGCAAATATGCGGATGGTTGTGCCACTGTGCCCTCAAAATTTCCTTCATGCGTGTCATCCACTGGCCCATTGAAACCTCATTACACTCATAGCCTCATAGCCATAGTTAGCTCGCCCAGTTCTAACGTCTAAATGGATAAATACCAGTGATATAGGGATTATTAAAACCACATCCCAACTGCGATAGCAGATCCACCCATCTCGGCTCCTGCAGTTCGGATTGCACCATGCTGGGCAGCGCCAACAGGAAGAGCACCGGGAAGCAGGCCTTGGAAGCACCCGAGAAACTCACCCAGTTTTTGACAACAACTGCAGCATCTATGTGGGTCTAACTGGAAAAAAAAAGAACAGATCTTGGCAAACCGACAAACCGTAGCAAATTAAAACCAAAGAGCATTGCCTTGTTAGCCTTGGTTCTACCAACGGTAGTGTTGGTAAAGTAAACCCAGCTTTGCTGGTCATACCATCACTTTTTGGCCATTAGTGAAATGCAGACAATGATATGTTCAACTGAGGGAAACCACAGCATTGTTTGTCATATCCACATTGTCTTACCCAATCATTTATATTGGGGTAATACTGCCAAAAGGTCCACCATTTTTGTTCGGGGCCAACCGCAAATTTCCCAATTCAGATCACTTATCCGACTCATCCTTCAACCCATCACCATCACTGCTAGTGATTTCCCTTGTATTTGCTGCTGATTTCCCATGGAAAAACGAAACAAAGGCTGCCCCCCCCAAAAAAAAAACATGGGAGATTCTAAAACCTCAAAAAACTGGAGAAAAACCCCCCCATTTTTTGAAAACATGGGGCTTTTCCAGGTTTCACCCCATTTTTCAAAAAACTGGAGAAAGCCCCCCCGTTTCACCTTGCAGGCCTTGGAGAAAGCCCTCATTTTTCCCGAAAAAAACCCGCTGAGAGCTGTCAAGGCGCCATGTAGCGTAGCGACTCCACCAGGCTGCATAGGTAGGCGCTCACTTGGTGAACTGCGCCAGGGCCAAAGGGCGGCCTGGCGCCGGTGAGGTTCTCCCTGGGTAAATGTGAGAATCATGTGGGATAGTACAACCAACTTTCCACAATTGCTATGTTTCACATCTACAGAAATTGTCCATATCCGCAATTGATCCCAAGAGCTAGAAACATTGGACACCTGGAAATCACAGACCTGATTTCTAGCAGCTGCTCCTAAGGTCAACCAAATAGGCAGCCAAAAATGGAGGATGTCCACGGTTACCAACTCGGAGGACTGCCCAAGCAGCTTGCCCATCCAGGTGTGCAATGGAACAGACACCCTACAACGCTGTCTAAGTCCAAGCAAAACATAGCAGCTCCGGAAACCGGAAATCGTGGTTGACCACTCAAACTTACCATGGCAACAGAAAGCCGTTCATTTGCGGAGTTGTTTTTCCCTTCAAAAAATGGTGATTGTCCATTGCCATGTTCGCTTGCCAGATGGTGATGTCCCAAGTAAACGCTACAGATCTATCCCCGCTGCCTTCGGTTGCCAGCATACAGCAATAGCAAGCCCACAGAATAGAGACAGGAGGCATCCTCGGTCAGCTTCAACGCCATCTGAAGGATGACCATATTTTTTGCGTCAGTTTTGACCACCTAAATTCAATGGAGACTATTTATTGCCTGGTCTGGGAAACTCACTACCAATAGATTTTGATGGATACCCACTGAAGATCTTAAAATGTCACATGAATCAAAGGTAGCTGGGGCCTCACCTCTCAACCCCAGGTGCCAAAAACGCGCCTTGCTGGGCAGTCGCAGCAACAGAGCCAGGGCGATGGAAAATCTCAAGCGCCCGACCTCCCAGCGAAATCAGTGGGTGTTCTTTCTTTCCACAGCGGAAGCACCCGTAGGTGCCAAAAAATATCAGGGATCCATTAACGAAAAAAATGGGGGACCCAACAGAAAAAAAAACATTTGATGGTCTACTTTCACGGAAACCCATGCTGGTAGCTATGGCTCTAGTTGACACCTCATTTTTGTTGTGGACATCTCCTTTTTCGGTTGTTCACATGGCCCCATGGCCTTGGAAAGTAAAGTCGCAGAACATTCCCTACATGGGATATATTCCTATATTCCTAATATAATCCTGATAATCTCCAGCCATGTCCCAGCAAATTTACCAATTTTGCTAAAGTCTGTCAGAATTCACGAACCTGAAATGAATTCGGAAACTTGAAGATGAGTCCAATTGCTGATTATAATATATTGAAATCATCATTCATATCACCAATGGCAAGCAAAAAATCACCTGCAAATCGGGCCTTCTGTCGCAGATCTTGCCACTTCTTGGTCTCCTGCCCCAGCAACAGCACGGCCGTCAGCAGGGCAGTCGCGACAAGCGCGCCGGGACTTAGAGGGATGGTTGAATGGTGTCGCTTTGCAACGGGGGATGTAACCAACTAATGGGTGTGTGTATAAAGCCAACCGTTTTATGGGATATAGATATAGATATGGGCCATGGTCAATACTCACTATATGGTTGATGGTCATCCCATCCATAATAAGGATCCTTATAATGGTTATTATAAATCCCTATGAACCATTGGATGACTAGCCCCTATTAATGGTTATTAACCATGAGTATTGACCATATCTCATATAGAGATAATAATTTAATATAATGGGATCTACAACCAGCATCAACCAGCAATATGGCATGGGCGTGTCCACGAATTACGGATACCCCAACTTATTTCCAATCTTCCAGAGGGAAAATGAGATGTTCAACCATAAGATTTTGGAGTACCATGCTTTCGGACAAACTCAACCAGGGTGTTGATTATTAGTCGGGGAGGGGGAAAAAAAGCACTTTTTTTGGGTTACTTGACAATTTGTTCGAGGTTCTTAAACAATTTGCCAGTATGAGAAGAAAACAACCATTGGGACAAGCAATCGTGATTGTAGTATCTTGGCCAACAAGCAACAGCAACTGCTGAACTGTGTCCAAAAGAAAACTGTTGACGCCTCGATATCAACAATCGGGCGAATGGAGGGGACAGTTTACGCTCTGGTAATCAAACATTGCCATTGGAAATCACAACATTTGACATAGGAAAATCATCTGCACATGGAGAAAAAAGGGCAAAATCACTGTCATCTGTGATTCCCAGAGGATACCAAAATATACCAAAATCATGGCCATTCATGGCTGAAATCCCCATGTTTGGTGGCCCCCCCGAGAACGTTGTGGCCACGTGGCAGCGAGCGGAGCAGCGCCGGTAGCAGCGGTAGCAGCACCACGAAGCTGCGTTGGCCGCAGGCGCCAGCCTGCGCCAGAGCACCTTGGATCAGGAGTTGAAACTGGATAACAACAATAATGTGGGTAAAAAATTAAACCATCCCCGATTTCACCATAGATAGGTGAACTATGGTGAACTGTTAGTGCAACCAAAAGTGCTGGAACTGTGCATTTTGAACCTATTTTCAAGGATTCTGTTAGAAGAAGACGATGGTCATACCAATGATGTTGCTGATGTTGCTGATGTTGCTGATGATGATGATGATGATGATGACGATGATGACGATGATGACGATGATGATGATGATGATGATGATCCCGTCGAACTCTTCCAGAAGCGGCAGAAGCGGGGCAAATGGTGGGAGTTGATCGTATGGTTACCATTCCCAGTCATGGGGGATTTATGACATTGTTTTAACAACAATAGTGGGATTTATGACATTGACAGATCAGTTGTGAATACATTTACATATGTGGATTATCTGTTAGAAATGGGCAACAGTAAGCCAGCGGTGATTTTGGCCATTCCTGATTTTGCCATCCCAACTAGTGTGTCGGCCGCCCTGCTGACATTCTGGAGCTATCATGAATTGGTATCCAATCAACTGTTTGTTGCTTCTCACATGTTGGTTGATAGTCTTTGCGCTGTCACATAGTTCGAAATCTCCAAATTATCTCAAAACCAAAGAATGCTGGTTCGGGTTTATCATCCTCCCAATTTTAATACGTAGTTCATCTCCCTGCGACGCATTCCCCATGTTTCTGGGAGGGCAGGTCATCCCCCAACGAAGCGTTGAGGATGTTTGGCTTATCATCCCTCAGAATCGCAGAGTGACAAGATATCAGAAATCTTCAGTGAGAGACCCATTCCCATCCTGGGATGAACCATGTCTATATTGCAGTAAGCAAAAAAAGGAAAGGTCAAAATCTGTGTCTCACATCGATGGGTGGATTACTATCATTCTATCAATATTATCAATTTACCAAAAATATATTCTTCTTTCTAAACATCAATTACCAACCTGGCAGAAAAGTAAAATCCTACATGCTGACCACTCGTGGTACATTGAACCCCTTGGATCACCAGGCGAAAAAAAGGCCAGGCCAAACTGCCAGGTGGCCATAGGTCCATGCGGCCAGGCACAGCTGCAGCACCTTCCGTTAATGGTGAGTTTTTGCCAAGAAAAATAGAATTTTGACCATCAAAAGTAGGGATATGATGGGAACTGAACGGGATAAAAAGTGGATTGTGACTTACAAGCTATTTAACCAGGAATCAATTGGTTTAATCAACATAAGGAATGCAAGGTGCTGTAAGGGGAGGGTCGGCCCCTCTTGATCCATGTATTGCCCAGTTTCACTGATTGAATCACATGGTTTTTTGCTTGAATCATGTTGAAGTTGAATCTCACCGTGAGGGTGGATGATTCCGGCAACCAGGGGACCGACAGCAACAAGAAATGGAGATTGGACCAGCAGAAACGTGATTTTGATCAACAAACATTGGTGATCTAAACCCACGTTTGAAAAGAGGGAACCGCGACAAACGTGGGCATGTGACCCAAAAAATCTTGCAACACCAAAAAGAATGGGGACTCAAAGTGCAGTGGAGAGTATCAGGAGGCAAAGATATTGGATTGTCAACAAGCGGGCCATGGGTAGTGAGGGACACCAGCATTCCTCAGCTCCACTGGGGTCCCCCGACACTTTCTTTGCCCACACCCAGCAATGCCAAAAGGATCCACCAGAGCTTGGAGGAGCTGAGAAGCGCCTGGCACGGCTGAGAAACCTTTGCTGAGCAGTGCTGAAAGCCCAAACATTGGTCAATAATCATTCCATTTTACTGAGTGGTTAATAGAAATTCCCATAATGGATTTTGATAATCTGCAGACATGGATCATTTTTTGAAGTGGTCTATAGTCAGCATGGAACCATAAAGATTAACCCAATGTATTATGAACCCCAGAACTAATCATAAAGCAAGAGGGTGCTTCAGACCAACTTGCTGGGAATCACCTGAGAGGTACCAAAAATCATCAAAAATCTATTCGCGATCTATGGAATTTACTGACTTGCAAAAAGTGTTGTCGTTTTTTTATTCGGAATTGTTTACTTGCAATTTGGGATTTACAGTCTTTACAGTACAATTTCTAGCAAAGCGAGGCAAGACGCAAGACTGGTGGCCGCCCTGCTTTTCAGACTCTGAGACTCGATGATTTTTGTTTTTCCATGGCTTTCAGTATGTTTCAGGCGTCATCATCTTGCAACAAATGGGTGTGTCTGAAAATAGTGGTACCCCTACACCCAATGGTTTTGCTGATCATTATCCCTATTAAATGGCTATTTCATTGGGAATATACCCTATTTTCAGACAAACCCAAATTCTTGTCACAACTCTCAGAAGATCAAAACGTTAAACGGGTGCCCAAAACGGGCCTGTACCAAGTTCCAAGCGCTCCTGGGTTGCAATCCCAGGATCAACAGCAGCACTGGCCTCTGGTGGACCAACATTTTTTGGCCTCTAAAGTGGCTAAGGACGGATTTCCCAGGTCATAGATTGTGAGAATCTGAGAGATATATATGTATATATATATATAGAGTGTAACCCCATATACTTGGCCTGGGAAGTTCATGGATGTCCCAAACAAAACACCCAGTGCCGGTGCAGCATCGCTCAAAACTGCACCGCTGTGTGTTGGAGATTCTCCCTGCCAAGAGGCTTGATCATGCGCCAATACCAAGCCACCTGGAGGCAAAAATTACCCGTATTTTACCCGTCATCAAACATGGCAGTTCACCCAGGCCCCATTTACCAACCATGACTGGGGGATATTATGTTAAACCATCACTAGAAACGAAAAGATACCGGAACATGTTTCCCAACCATCATGTTTCCGAAGATTCTTGGCTATGTATACATATATATATATATACAGTATAAGATATTTTATCATATATACATAATATATATATATATATCTCTCTCATAATATATTTTTACGATTCTCATTATATAGCCATCGATTGGGGACCTGGCAGCTGCGCAGCGCCTGGCTCTGTTCCCTGCCACGCTGCTCCGACCTCAGTTGTGCTTCCAGCTGGGCCTCCTTCTTCCGAAGCTCCTGCGGCCAAGTTGGCCCGAAAGCCAGATGTTTAATCTATTTATAACTCTTTGTGGGCATATATATATATATATGTATTACAGTATACAGTGAATATTTAAACTAAAAAACTAGACTACAAGTACAACAATAACAATAACATAATGATAGATAATTAAATGAAAACACATACTAAATAAGTTAATGACTGACAAAATCATAAGCAGCAAAAATAGCGGGTTGAATCAACAGAAATGGTTTAAAAAGGGTTGACACGAAAAACAGGGAGATTTCTTCAGATGAAACATAGCTTTGATACATTTTGATACTATTATTTCGTGAAATATCAGCAACCAAACTGTGATTCGAATCAATTTAAGTTGTTTTCAGTGGCCAAGATACCGTAGAAATAGTCAGTGGGGCTGCGAAGATGTGATGGGTCCGAGGTGCTCACACGGCAGGTCCCAAAAAATAGGAAGGTGAAACCCTGGTGCATCACGGAGAATGTTTTTTTCATATCATTTCCCACGCCCTGTTTATTTTTTCCATGACTTAAATTTATGGAGTCATATATCTATATTATATATATATACATATGTATATATTATATATATATATATTGTAAATTATGTGCACATATGATATATCATATATGGTTTCATGTAATGTTCCATCCCTCGTCATCCCATGCCATCGGCCAACCATCCAGCTGGAATCCAGACCCAAATGCTTATCAGAGCTGATGAATCTGAATCAACTTAATGATATTTGATCACAATGAATCTTAACAATATTTAATGATATGTCATGATATTTAGTAAAGTATGGTTGAGAACAGTGATGTTCCTGGTTATAGACTGAGGTTATGTGTTATCGACTTCATCTTTCTTTCGCCACGAAACAATGTTTGCTGGCCACGTCTGACCTGGATCGTCGACAAATCTGGGTATAGGTCTACCAAAATGGATAGCGAATTTGTTCCCAAAATGTGCGACCAACTTTGTCATTTGAGACCTATACCCATTTGGTCTGGAGTCCCTCCGGGACTGCAAGTAGTCTCACTGCAGATGCCGGCGCAGGTCCGCAACTTTCAAGCTTTCCTGCTCCCAGATTACAAGTCAACATACGCGCGAACATAAATTTATATAAATTGTATCGACTTGTAATTACTTGCTTGCTACAGTATAAATTCTCCAGGTTGCAAACTGGGGCGGCCAAGCTCTACTTGCGGGTCATCAGCTAACTCTTCCACCGAGCCACCGCGCACTGGCCCAGGCACTTGGCCATTCTCTGCGACTGGCTCCAGCTGCGTCTCAGAGTCAGGTGACCCGGGCTCACAAAGGAGCCCCGTTGCGGGTGAAACTATGCACACCTCCTGCCTGCTGGCCTGAATTCGCAACTCACAGGACTAGTTGCCTGCGATGCCGTGCAAGCGTAGGCGCACAGCCTCCGCAGATCCTGCCACAGCACGAGTAGTGCATGAGTCACCAACTACTGTGAGGCCATATCTCCCAACCTCTCCAAACCTAAATGTCTAGAGTCTCTTGAAAGATCATCCTACTATTTTGTTGATCTTTTAGATGGTATCTCAGCCTTCATCCAGTGGCTTCAAGTGGCATCACCATTCGAAAATCGGACAGGTCCTTCTCGGAGGTCCCTCACCACACGATTTATGTTGATAGCCTCCACCGGTCCGGTCGGATAGGGAGATAGCAACGAATGGGGTCAACGATTGAAACAATGCGACTGGCACCAACAATCATTGAATCTGTCGGGAGGTGTTCCAGAAACATCCGAATCCAACGAATCCAAGGTATGCTTCTGAAGCTTGCGGGCTGTCGCATCTTTGTGCGAACACTGGGTCCTAGGGGTCATGTTGAAGAAACACGAGATGATAAAATGATATAAAATGTTGAAAACAAATGCACATAAAGCTTTTGAGCAACCCTCTCAGAACAGCAATTTGATGGTCTGTCACTGCCGCCAGACTTTGCCGAGGAGCTCCCTCGCGGAGGCGCATGATTTGGCAATTCGCCCATTGTTCATATTCTTCCTGAAATCGATATGTTTGATCTGCGACTCATGACATGAAACAAGGAAATCCATCCGGAAGTAGCCACAGAAACTAAATGTCCAAATTATGCCAAAATATCCAAAATATGCTAAGATCAGATTTTGTGTGAGATTTTTTCATCCCGAATCAGAAACCATATGAAAAAAACAGCCATTGCAGCCCTCAGCCCAGGACATCCTCCTCTCGAGGCTGCGGCTCCACTGGATACTGCGCGAGCATCGCGAGCGATGATCCCACGGCTTTCCATGGGCTCTGAAGCAGTTTTTCACGGAGTGTCCCTTATTTTCCGACTCATGCAACATCGTGCATTCGTGCAACTATTTACATTATATATATATATTGTGGTTATAAATTCAATTACAACTAACTATGTACATTAGATAATACATAACACGAGTGCGCAACGTAACCACCCGAACCAAATGCTCAGCATGGAAACTTGGCAATCATTTGCCTTTCGGCATTTAACGTTGTTCAGGGCCCACGTCGAACAGGGTCGAACCAGTTGCCTGAACCATGGCCTTGACCCGGGCCCTTCTCTCTGCCGCCTGGCAAGGATCTCAAAGGACCTCACTGGAACTGTCTGGTGATTAGAGGTGACTAAAAAACTTCTATTCAAACACAAACAAAGACTCGAAGAAGAGATTATTTCCTTGATCCATTTCAGGTAGACAGACCCTGGCCTCTTCTCGATCATACGCCTCTGGGCGCGGAGGCAGGGAGTGCGCTCGCCTTTGGCTTCCACGGGGCTCCTGCTGCAACGGCCATGCTGCTGAGGTCGCGTCACGGTTCCATCGGTTCAGCTTGGTCCCGTGAAGGCCAAAAAATGAGCACATCAATAGACCAAATACAGTATATTATATGGTTGGGCCTTGATTTCCGGCCGCCAAGTGGGCCTATACCTAAATCCTGTTGACAAATTTAGAGATAAGCATGACAGCGTTGGAAAACTGCCACCAAAAAGCGACACAGAAAGTAGAAACAAATGATTTGGAATCAAAGGCATCTATCTCACCATGAATCAGCATGTCTTAAAACTGTGTCCTCACCCAACTTGACAATGTGGAATGAAGCACTCCAAGATCCCCACTGGGCAGCTCTACATAAATCCTTTTTTTATCACAACTGAGACTTGACAACTGCAAGAGTTCACAGTTTGACCACACCCTCCTCCGCTTCTTCCATCTCCACCAAGTTGGTTGCCACCAATCCGCCCTGCTGGACAATGCACTCATTGATCTTCAACCGCTCAATCAAGTCTAGGACACACCGCTCATCAATAATAGGATAAATCAAACCGAAAACGGGATTACAGATGAACCCGATATCTCTTTCTCCGACAGCGGTTCTGTTTCACGCAGTGTGGAAACGAGGCTTGAAATTAAATCGGCTACATTGAGACGGACACAACAGGAAAACATCTATCTGTGACATTCTGCGAACTCTTTGACAAAGAAAAAAACATGTTCTGCGAGAAACCGGTTGTGTGGGTGAAAACTCTTCCTGGTAGGACAGCAGCCCGTGTATCTCTATAAGCACATGATTTGAAACTACATCAGGTCTGTTGCAATGGAACTAAAACCGCCGGAAATCAAGATTCAAAAATGTTCAAAAATCATTGACTGCAATCATTGCCAGCGTGACTATGCTGGATCCTCACTTTTCAAGGAGGAACAGATCTATTGTTAGGATCGGCCACAACTCAAGAACATCTCTGCCGCCTCAAGCTGCTTGATATGGTTCGACATCATTTGAGCTGACAGGTTCAGCTGGTCCACTTCCTTGAGGCGGAAAGCCAGCGCCTGCATACGCTGCACCGGCAAACTCAGCCTGAAATGGGGTTATCTGAAGATGTGGAAACCTATTCCGTCCCATGGTTAATCAATTTTATATAATCATAGCTTTCCCCGAAATTGTAACTTTGGGCATCCTGCCATTTTTAGAGAAAACCAAATCAACAAACTGCATTGCAGATTGGTTCCACTATGGAAACTTTTCTGTGCGGTCATCTTGCTACGGGGTCAGTTCCTTGCCAGTTCCTCATTTGCTCAGCTCGTGACCCCAGTTTCCAGGGCCAATCAGTATAGTGATCCAATTTTTTAGGGGGACTGCATTACGGCAACCCTACTTATCAGGGAAGAAGGGCACTTCTAAGATCTTTCAAGCAGCCCCAAAAAAGGTTCCCAACCATCGTGACTTCGGTTGTGACATAATGTTTCATCCACTGGTCTCATTGACATCAAATTGCAACTCGATTCCAACAGTCATGAATATTGTGTATATTATATACACATTATTGTCACAATATGCAATATAGAATGAACAAATATGCATTGCATACAGTATAAAATGTTGTTGCATTTGTTCCGCATCATAATTTACACAGAGCGTATTTATTGCAACCATTTTGTTGTACGTATACATGTACTGTCAGTACAAAAAACGAATCAAAATGTCAATGTCAAACTTACAAATATATCTGGAATTTGGACGTATACGTGTAGAACATGAAATACAGATGCCTGAATTACATGATAAATCCAATGACATCGCGTGTGTATGTGTGTGTTGCAGCATGTAGGTATCATGAAAGACATGCTAGTTTTGAAGAAATTGGGATTCAAAAACGGCCCAATGTGATTGTAAACAAACTATGCACCAAAAACACAACCCATGCCAAGTATTTTGATTACCTATCCCAACTACTTGATGATGGGGTTGACATGATGACGTGGTTGACATGATGGTGTGAATGCTAACCATGACCATCGGCCGTAACTCGGAAGCTTTCTCACCAACCTTCTGTTGGTGATAAATCGTTGATTTGGGGCACACCCAGTTTGAACAAGAAAATAAAGCCCCAGTCCGATCCTTCAAGTTGCAACTAGCTTACAACTCCCAAAACTCCAACACCTCATCCATCTCTTTCAGCAGCTCTTGGTCGCACTGATGCTTTTGACGGAGCTCCTCCACCACTGGTGATCACCAGTGCTGGTCACAAAATGACCCAACTAGGTAGTCTTATGATGAGGGGTCAAATTCCGGCACCCCAATTTGAGAGTTTTGGGGGTGCTCAGATCAATCCACAGAACCTGGAAACACCATTTCTGCATGGAAAGAATGCCCGGAAATTTGGAGAACCCAACGGCTTAATGCGTCCAGCCTCCGCCTCCTCCCGCAGATCAGCCAGAGCCTTTTCCTATCGGACACGCTGGGGTCTAGCTGAGATATATCAAGATGTCTGTGGACCTTGTCAGCTTCAGCTACACAATTGGGGGATTCTCATGAATCGGGTTTCAAAGCACCTTCAACAAGAACCATTGAACAGCATTGAACAGCACTGAACAGCAGCCCAATTAGCCGAACTACAAAAAGTGCACACTGTGATTTCGGAGCAAGAATCAGACTTGAGCCAAAGAATCCAAATCCAAACCACATGCCACTGTGCTTTCGTGACCCTAGGTTGGAAAATAGACAAATGTTTCAAACCGGTTGTTTGAACATCAGTGGCTGATTTTCAACATCATGATTCAGTGATGAAAACTCATAGCATCAGCTCCGCCCAGGCGCCTGCAGCGTCTGGCGTTTTTTGTAACCTTCAAAGCTCCAAAACTTCTTCTCGAGGATTTCGTTCTTCTTCAAAATTTGTTTGCGTTTTTGGTCTTGCTTGCCTAAGCGACACATTGCCATGAATGAATGGTTCCATGACAGGCACGAATCAAGAGATCGATCGCACTGACCATCCCATGCTGGGGCATCCTGTCATAGCAATCTCCCAAAGATCTCAACATAAAATCCTGCCCAGAAACTGCGGGCGCGCAGCACATTGACAGTCCACATGAGGTCCTCACGCGATCGACCGAAACCGAACCAACCATAACCCTTTTTGATGCTTGGAGGGCAATAGAAAAAAAACAAAATGAAGAATCTCTTTCAAACACAATTCCGGGGCTGTTCTTTTGCGAAACGTAAGGTGACAGCTATACCAAGTCAGGCGCCAACGCCTCTAAATCAGTCTAGTCTATAGTGTCCGCACAAGGAAAGTTGTTTTTTATCCTCAACACTTTTTACCGTGTGAAGTCCAGCCGATCGCTTCGGACACTCCTGGACTTTCTTTTCCAGCTTGCTCTTTTCCTGGAGATGTTCTAGGGATGTTTGAGTTAGAATGGGACAGGTTTCACTCCCTTTATCGAAAAGAAGTTTCAAATCATGATCTTTCTTTCGGAACCCATACCACAAAGGATTTCTTTCTCCTAATGCAAGTGCGGGTGTCATCCCACAACTATGGCCACATGTAGGACGCCATGGTTTCACCCGTCTGCCGCAGGAATTTCCGGCCTCTGGTTTTGAATTTTCATCCAAGGAGACGTCGGTTGAGACTGATTCCTATTTGGCAGTGTGCCAGGAACATCATTGCATCACCATGCTTGCAAGGCAATAAAGATGCTCAAACGCTGGGACGTGTATCACCAATCTTTCCCCTCTCCCCAATCTTCCGCCCGCTATACAACACTCTGTCAGTCATACAGTATGTACGGATGGATGGATGGATGGATGGATGGACGGATAGACGAATGGATGGATGGATGGATGGATGGATGGATGGACGGATGCAAGGATGCATGGATGCATGGATGCATTGATGCATGGACGGATGCACGGATGCAGGGATGCATGGATGCATGTATGGAAATATGCATGGATGCATGGACGCACGGATGCATGGATGCATGAATGGATGTATCCATGGGTGCATGAATGCATGAATGGATGTATCCATAGATGGATGAATGAGTGAATGAATGAATGAAAGAATGAATGAATGAATGAATGAATGAGTGAGTGAGTGAATGAATGAATGAATGAATGAATGAATGAATGCACGAACGAACGAACGAACGTACGGACGAACGAACGAACGACGGCACGAACGCACGAAGGCACGAACGCATGAACGAACGAACGAACGAACGAACGAATGAATGAATGAAGAATTGTTTGCAAACGTGTAGGCATGTGTATCTGCACAGGTATTTAAAATGATATGTATATGTAAATGTAAATGTTTTTCTACGTATATTGCATTTCTGTCCGTGCAGATAAGTGTGTATATATATATATATTATAAATACTGTATATTATGTCAATAATTTGTATCTTGTATGTCAATGTATATTGTATTGGTTCCTAATTGTACATATGTTTTTAGTGTAGAATGTATACACATGTCACATGTGTGTGTGTGTGTCCATGTGTATGTGTATGCCTGCGTGTGTGTGTGTATGCAACGTAACATAAGGTAATGACATGTAATGTGACGTAGTGTGATGCCTGTTTATATATATATATATATGTATGTACATGTTTAATCATATATTTATATATATGTAGACCTTATATATATGTGTGTGTGTGATGTATGATTGGTTGTGAATAACATCATTGTATATGTATATACCTAGATACCCACTTTCTGTTTTTGTTCAACCTGTGCTTGTGATGTTCATTGCAAGATGAAGATGTCCATGTATGCCAAGAATTTTAAAAAAAAAAACAAGATAAGCAGATTAGCCCAACGAACTCACTATCATCACAATCCAAGACCAAAACCTATGGTGAGGTTCAAGAATGTAGGATGTTGATTATATACCCAATACATGACTACTTTGTGAACCTGAAGAACGTCCCAAGCGATTTCACCTGAATCAACAGCAAACGGAGATAGCGGCTGATTTGCAGTCGCAAGTTCAATTTAGCTTTGCGCTATCCCTTGGATTGTATCTTTTGCCGCGTCGCTTTTGTGCTTGAGAAGCCAGCAATGTGACTCGGGGCAAACATGTTTCTTTGATTTAATTTTGCAGCACAAAAAAGTTGGTAATTATTTGGTTCAGTAGGTACGAGCGCCAAAAAGTTGGCTTCAGTCACAGACTTCACTCGCCGTACGCCCAAATGTTTCACCCATCTGCTGCAGGAATTTCCGGCCTCCGACTCTGAGTTTTCATCAAAGGAGACCTCGGTTGAGACTGATTCCTAATGGGCAGTGTGCCGGGAACATCATTGCATCATCATGTTTGCAAGGCAATAAAGATGTTCAAACGCTCCTATCTTTCCCCTCTCCCCAATCTTCCACCCTCTCCATGAACTCACAAATATACAACACTCTGTCAATCAGCTTTGCCCTACACTGGATGTGATTTCTGCCAGGTGATCTTCACAAGTTTGACGCTCAAAGCTAGGCATCCAGGCCAGCTCGACACCCATGATGACAAGGAAAATCTAAATCAGCAAACTCGACCAAAGAACAACTTTTTTAAATCCCTAAGGTTGCTGCGGGTCCGAAAATCTGAATCCATGTGCAATGATGGTGATATCTACTTGACTGACCAGTAACTGGAGATAAGCTCCTGTTGAAGGTGACTAATGCTGAAAGGAAGCAGTTTGGAATGGCTTGCACATTAGTAGTGTGCCATATGAAATTAGTTGGGTTTTTTTTTGGTATGGATTTTTTGAAGCACGGAACATAACAGGATAGAATCGTGTCGTGCCTTTGAATGTTCGAATTCCAAAAGTCATTTATCCATCCCCAGGCACGAAAACCACCCAGTCCTGAACCAAGGCCTTCTGAACTTTGCCTCACGAAATAAAAAGGTCACATCGACATGGCTGTGTCTAAAAAAACCGGGCATCCCATCAAAACCTCATGGCTGACAATCATTTTGATATGTGGCTACTTTATGGCTATCCGCTAATCCGGCTAACCGGCTATCCCGTTGTGGGCCCGTTTTTCGCAGTAATTACAACCCGAGGCCAGACAACATCAACCTCAGGGGTAACCATGGCATCCCCAGGCGCGACCTGTGCTTTCGTTCCGTGGCATTGTGCAAGTGTACCTGGAACGCGAACGCGGAGCTCAGCCAAGTTTGGCAGTTTGGCACCACTGGTGTCGGACCTTAAATTCAATTCATCAGACCCAGCGGCTGGTTGGTGGTTTGAACCCCTCTGAGAAAATATGAAAGTCAATGGGAAGGATGACATCCCATATATTATGGAAAATAAAACATGTTCCAAACCACCAGCCGCAGCTTGCATGTCCAAATCTCTCTCAAGGCCTTCATACAGCAAGATGAGATGATGTGATCCTAACATCTCCGTCTCTTCCAGCGACGTTCCGCATGCCCCCGGTGGGGACGTGAGTCACCTAGTTTTTGGTTTGTGCCCTGCAAAACGAAGCTAACATAGCCATGGAAAATGGATGAACATGGCCATTTCGTTCGATATCACCAAAACAGTTGATTCACCATGATTTACCGATCCACTTCGCAAACTGTGACCGTTCTAACCAGAGTAAACCCATCCCCAAACGCTGCGGCACAAGATGGGCATCCGCAGAAAGCTCGCGTCTTGGAGACTCTTCCGCAGGCCCCACCGGTCACCACGCTGAAGTTCCTGGGGCTCAGTGGGATCACTGACAAAAAAAAACCTCGGTGAAACTTCCAAAGCTTGAGATTGGAATATAGATCCATATATATATATATTATGTATTATATATATATGTATATATATGGACAATATATATATACAAAATATATATATATATAGACAATATATATATATATGACAATATATATATATATATATGACAATATATATATATGACAATATATATATATATATGACAATATCCCAAATGGATCCACATGGTTTTTGAAAAAACTACCACTGGGTATACAAAATCTCCATTTCTTTCAATGGAAAACTGGTTGGTGGTTGACCTACCCCTCTGAAAAATACGAAAGTCAATGGGAAGGATGACATCCCATATATTATGGAAAATAAAAAATGTTTGAAACCACCAACCAGTTGGTGTTTCTTGATTTTTCCTGGACTTTTGACAAACAGCTGATCTAGGAATCTAGGTCTTGTCAAACCGGCCGCGCGCACAACATCACCGGCTGAATTATTGAATTGATAAAGACTGCCCAAAAAATTGGAGGGTGTGTAATATTTCATTCTGTCAACAATGATGAACCCTGATTTGCAAAAATCTGCTCAGTGGATTCTTGGAACATGACCCATTCGTGCACTGCTTGTCAGCGTGCACGACGAAATATGGGGGAATCTGTTGTGCCACTGATGTTGGGCTTACTCTCCAGATGCTTGGACTCTCACCGACAGTGGTCCAGTTAAAGGTGTGGCTTGCAACTGCTTGACGCTTGAAACCTGTGTAAGAAAAATCTCGAGAGATCGAATGCCTCATACATACCATTGGTATCCGTTATGACGCTGATTCGGCCATATTGTTCGTCGCATCCTATTCTCAACTGCTTACATGCTTGATCGTCCACTATTTTTCATCAGTTTTCTAGGTTGAACATGATTGAAGCATCTTAACAAGGTAGATGTTCAACCGATTGGGTTGCTCAGCAAAAGAACGAGTCTTGTCTGGTTTCAACCAACGTCTGAGTGAAAAAAAACAGAATTTCTGACCCAGCCCCACTTCCGAATCAGTGCACCTCCATCCTTCGATGCCCTAAGAATAAATAGTGTATGGTATACTACTCTATTCACCAAATATTTGCCTCAGAATAGCACGCCTTCTCCAACTGAGAATGACCTCAACATTGGGCAAACCATATCAAATCACTTGAAAAATCATATAAAAGCATATTAAACCACATTAAACCATAGTAAACCATAGTAAACGATTACATATAGACATATTAAATCAAGAAAACTCTATCGTCTTCCCATCCCCATTGCACCCAGGTGCCAGCACCACCGAAGCACCACCCTCCACGTGCACGGGCTCTGTGATGCAGCAGGCCGATACGGCACCGCGGGTGAGCTGCAACTGGCCACAAATCGGAAGCCCCAAGTCACCATGGGGTGTCAATACTATTCTAATTGGTGGTTGACCTACCCCTCTGAAAAATCTGAAAAAGTCAGATTGGATCATGATCCCAACTATTGAAAATAAAAAATGGTCCAAACCACCAGCCAGTTATGGTCTAATGGCTTGGATTCTTTGGGAGTATCCATGGGGTATCCCCATGACTTAGGAAGCCTCCAAATGTAGATGGGGAAATAAGCCGTTTTTTGCGCACCAGAGCAGTGATTTTACGTCTGGAAGGCATTGTCTCTTTGCCAAAGAAGCTGGTCGATGTTGTAAACACTGTATGTTCATATCTGGCAACGACGATCAAAAAATGACTTCAAAAAAATCGAAATACCGCAGAACCCATCCTCACGTGTTGACACGTGGGGTGGTCTACCTCCATAAGTTTATGTGGACCAAATTCCCTTAAACACAAGGAAAATCATGGGGGTTTTGCCAACTCTACCATTTTTAACAGCACCAACATGTCTAAATATCTGTGGTAAAGCCTGTAAATCTACCATCCCTCAGGCACCTCTGCCACATTCGTCGCCATCAGCACACCACCGCGCACCTTGACCGTGCCTCCGCCTGTCTATAAACTCAAAAGCAATGGGCCGTTTCGGCATGGTTTTTTCACCCGGAAACCTGGGGATGTTGCGGATGTCATGACCAAAACATGATGTTTTGAACACTTTGAACTGAGAAACAGCATATCTGTGGGTGTTTCGTAAATTGGAGATGTTCCAGCTCCACCTTGGAGGATCCGGATCGTAGTTGATCCGCAATGGTGATCATATGCCCCTCCCAGTTTCCTAAGTATACAGATGTAAAGTATGTGTATGTATATATATGTATATATGTGTGTGTGTGTACGTATACATGTGTGTGTGTGTGTATATATATATATGTACATGTATGTACATATTACATATACAGGTCATCCCATTCATACCTGGTGGTACAACCCGGCAAAGACTCACCGACCTCGACCAATGGACACAATGCTGTTGTCCGGCCGCTTCTTGATGATATCCTTGGGGACCAAGACCTCAAAGCCGCAGATGTGGGACTGCCACAGGCGAGGTTGCAGGGTTTGTGGGATGGCCGTTCCAAGAAAGAAGAGGGTGGGCAATCAATGATTGGAATAAATGTTATGCATATATATATCCACCGACCCCGGCAGACGCAAGGGGGAGCGCGCCAGGGAATAATACTTTTGACCCTGGTTTCGGACCAGTACCACTTAGGATGGCACTAATGGGTGTCAAGAACGTGGGCAAGAGCACGCAAAAGGTGTACATAGCCAGTAGCTAGCAGCCTGCGCCAGTAGCAGCCATGGGTGTCAAGAACATGGGCAAGAGCACGCAAAAGGGCAGCAGCAGCAGCAGCAGCAGCAGCAGCAGCAGCAGCAGCAGTTGGCAGTTTTTTCATTTGTATGGTACCAATGGGTGTCAAGAACATGGGCAAGAGCACGCAAAAGGGCAGCAGCAGCAGCAGCAGCAGTTGTTTCTTGCTTTGGAAGCAGTTTGATTGCAGCAGCACGACAGCAGCAGCAGCCTGCGCCAGTAGCAGCCAGCAGCCAGTAGCCAGCAGCCTACTAAAAATCTAGATTTTTCTAGGATTTCAGACGACACGTTAGGCACTTTTTTGGCGTGGTTCTGGCACTCGCTCGTCCTTCAGAGCCCTGGTGTTTTCCCCCCGGGAGGTGATTTTTTCGAAACTGTTTTACTGCTAGCAGCCGCCAGCAACAGAATCTGTCGAAAAATTGTGTTTTTCTAAGATGCCAGACGACACGTTAGGCACTTCTATATATCTTGTATATATTTCTATAGGGTTTCAGATGTCACGTTTGGCAGTTTTCTCATTTATATGGCACCAATGGCTGTCAAGAACATGGGCAAGAGCACGCAAAAGGGCAGCGGCAGCAGCAGCAGCAGCAGCAGCAGCAGCAGCAGTTGTTTCTTGCTTTGGAAGCACTTTGATTGCAGCAGCACGACAGCAGCACCACAGCAGCAGCAGCCACCAGCAGCAGCACCAGGCAGCAGGCAGCAGCAGGCAGCAGCAGGCATCAGTAGGCAGCAGCAGACATAAGCAGACGCAGCAGCAGTAAGCGCAACGGCAGCAGTGCAGCAGCTAGCAGCGAGCTAGCAGCCAGCCTCGAGAAACGTATAGCAAGCTTTTTGTACGAGATTTCAGAAGGGACGTTCCGGCCTCGGGAAACGCATATTTTGGACTCCGTTCGTCCTTCAGGGCCATGGTGTTTCCCCGTCCGGCAGGGCTGTGTCTTTGTGGGCACAGCAGCAGCAGTCGCTGTCGCCTCTCAGTAGCATGGGGTTTCCTTGCCGGAAACCGTCTTTTTGAAGGGTCAGCTGCACCAGCAGCAGCAGCAGCAGCAGCAGCAGCAGCAGCTCTAATAGAATTTTTCTCTAGGGTTCCAGCAGCATCAGTAGCAGTAAGAGCAACGGCAGCAGTGCAGCAGCTAGCAGCAAGCCAGCAGCTTGCTATTTGTAGGAGATTTCAGAAGGGACGTTCCGGCCTCGGGAAACGCATATTTTGGACTCCGTTCGTCCTTCAGGGCCATGGTGTTTCCCCGTCCGGCAGGGCTGTGCCTTTGTGGGCACAGCAGCAGCAGTCGCTGTCGCCTCTCAGTAGCATGGAGTTTCCTTGCCGGAAACCGCCTTTTGAAGGGTCAGCTGCACCAGCAGCAGCAGCAGCAGCAGCAGCAGCTGTAATAATTTTTTTTTCTAGGGTTCCAGCAGCATCAGTAGCAGTAAGAGCAACGGCAGCAGTGCAGCAGCTAGCAGCGAGCCAGTAGCCAGCATTGAGAAACGTACGAGAAACGTATATAGCAAGCTTTTTGTAGGAGATTTCAGAAGGGACGTTCCGGCCTCGGGAAACGCATATTTTGGACTCCGTTCGTCCTTCAGGGCCATGGTGTTTCCCCGTCCGGCAGGGCCGTGTCTTTGCGGGCACAGCAGCAGCTCCAATAGATTTTTTTTCTAGGGTTCCAGCAGCATCAGTAGCAGTAAGAGCAACGGCAGCAGTGCAGCAGCTAGCAGCGAGCCAGCAGCCAGCATCGAGAAACGTATAGCAAGCTTTTTCTAGGATAGGATTCTAGGCGTAGGAGACAAGCTTTTTTTAGGAGATTTCAGAAGGGACGTTCCGGCCTCGGGAAACGCATATTTTGGACTCCGTTCGTCCTTCAGGGCCATGGTGTTTCCCCGTCCGGCAGGGCCGTGTCTTTGTGGGCACAGCAGCAGCTCCAATAGATTTTTTTTCTAGGGTTCCAGCAGCATCAGTAGCAGTAAGAGGAATCAGTACCAGTAAGCGCAACGGCAGCAGTGCAGCAGCTAGCAGCGAGCCAGTAGCCAGCATCGAGAAACGTATAGCAAGCTTTTTCTAGGATTCTAGGAGACATTCTAGGAGACAAGCTTTTTTTAGGAGATTTCAGAAGGGACGTTCCGGCCTCGGGAAACGCATATTTTGGACTCCGTTCGTCCTTCAGGGCCATGGTGTTTCCCCGTCCGGCAGGGCCGTGTCTTTGTGGGCACAGCAGCAGCAGCAGCAGCAGCAGCAGTTGTTTCTTGCTTTGGAAGCTGTTTGATTGCAGCAGCACGACAGCAGCACCACAGCAGCAGCAGCCACCAGCAGCAGCACCAGCAGCAGGCAGCAGGCAGCCGCAGGCAGCAGCAGGCAGCAGCAGGCAGCAGCAGGCATCAGTAGGGGCAGCAGCAGACACAAGCAGACGCAGCAGCAGTAAGCGCAACGGCAGCAGTGCAGCAGCTAGCAGCGAGCCAGCAGCCAGCCTCGAGAAACCTATAAGCTTGCTATTTGTAGGAGATTTCAGAAGGGACGTTCCGGCCTCGGGAAACGCATATTTTGGACTCCGTTCGTCCTTCAGGGCCATGGTGTTTCCCCGTCCGGCAGGGCTGTGCCTTTGTGGGCACAGCAGCAGCGACTCAGTAGCATGGGGTTTCCTTGCCGGAAACCGCCTTTTGAAGGGTCAGCTGCACCAGCAGCAGCAGCAGCAGCAGCAGCTGTAATAGATTTTTTTCTAGGGTTCCAGCAGCATCAGTAGCAGTAAGAGCAACGGCAGCAGTGCAGCAGCTAGCAGCGAGCCAGTAGCCAGCATTGAGAAACGTATGAGAAACGTAAAACGTAAACGTATAGCAAGCTTTTTGTAGGAGATTTCAGAAGGGACGTTCCGGCCTCGGGAAACGCATATTTTGGACTCCGTTCGTCCTTCAGGGCCATGGTGTTTCCCCGTCCGGCAAGGCTCCGTTCGTCCTTCAGGGCCATGGTGTTTCCCCGTCCGGCAGGGCCGTGTCTTTGTGGGCACAGCAGCAGCTCCAATAGATTTTTTTTTCTAGGGTTCCAGCAGCATCAGTAGCAGTAAGAGCAATCAGTACCAGTAAGCGCAACGGCAGCAGTGCAGCAGCTAGCAGCGAGCCAGTAGCCAGCATCGAGAAACGTTTAGCAAGCTTTTTGTAGGAGATTTCAGAAGGGACGTTCTGGCCTCGGGAAACGTATATTTTGGACTCCGTTCGTCCTTCAGGGCCATGGTGTTTCCTCGTCCGGCAGAGCCGTGTCTTTGTGGGCACAGCAGCAGCAGTCGCTGTCGCCTCTCAGTAGCATGGGGTTTCCTTGCCGGAAACCGCCTTTTGAAGGGTCAGCTGCACCAGCAGCAGCAGCAGCTGTAATAGAAATTTTTTCTAGGGTTCCAGCAGCATCAGTAGCAGTAAGAGCAACGGCAGCAGTGCAGCAGCTAGCAGCGAGCCAGTAGCCAGCATTGAGAAACGTAGAAACGTATGAGAAACGTAAAACGTATAGCAAACTTTTTGTAGGAGATTTCAGAAGGGACGTTCCGGCCTCGGGAAACGCATATTTTTGACTCCGTTCGTCCTTCGTCAGGGCCACGGCAGGGCCGTGTCTTTGCGGGCACAGCAGCAGCTCCAATAGATTTTTTTTCTAGGGTTCCAGCAGCATCAGTAGCAGTAAGAGCAATCAGTAGCAGTAAGAGCAACGGCAGCAGTGCAGCAGCTAGCAGCGAGCCAGTAGCCAGCATCGAGAAACGTATAGCAAGCTTTTTCTAGGATTCTAGGAGTAGGATTCTAGGAGACATTCTAGGAGACAAGCTTTTTTTTTAGGAGATTTCAGAAGGGACGTTCCGGCCTTGGGAAACGCATGTTTTGGACTCCGTTCGTCCTTCAGGGCCATGGTGTTTCCCCGTCCGGCAGGGCCGTGTCTTTGTGGGCACAGCAGCAGCAGCAGCAGCAGTTGTTTCTTGCTTTGGAGGCTGTTTGATTGCAGCAGCACGACAGCAGCACCACAGCAGCAGCAGCCACCAGCAGCAGCACCAGCAGCAGGCAGCAGGCAGCCGCAGGCAGCAGCAAGCAGCAGCAGGCATCAGTAGGCAGCAGCAGACACAAGCAGACGCAGCAGCAGTAAGCGCAACGGCAGCAGTGCAGCAGCTAGCAGCGAGCCAGCAGCCAGCCTCGAGAAACGTATAGCAAGCTTTTTGTAGGAGATTTCAGAAGGGACGTTCCGGCCTCGGGAAACGCATGTTTGGGACTCCGTTCGTCCTTCAGGGCCATGGTGTTTCCCCGTCTGGCAAGGCCGTGTCTTTGTGGGCACAGCAGCAGCAGTCGCTGTCGCCTCTCATTAGCATGGGGTTTCCTTGCCGGAAGCTGCCTTTTTGAAGGGTCAGCTGCACTAGCAGCAGCAGCAGCAGCAGCAGCTCCAATAGAATTTTTGTCTAGGGTTCCACCAGCATCAGTAGCAGTAAGAGCAACGGCAGCGAGCCAGTAGCCAGCATAGCATTGAGAAACGTACATTGAGAAACGTATAGCAAGCTTTTTGTAGGAGATTTCAGAAGGGACGTTCCGGCCTCGGGAAACGTATATTTTGGACTCCATTCGTCCTTGAGGGCCATGGTGTTTTCCCGTCCGGCAGGGCCGTGTCTTTGTGGGCACAGCAGCAGCAGCAGTCGCTGTCGCCCTTCAGTGGCATGGGGTTTCCTTGCCGGAAGCCGCCTTTTTGAAGGGTCAGCTGCACCAGCATTTCAGAAGGGACATTCCGGCCTCGGGAAATGCCAATTTTGAGTTCCATTATTCGTCCTTCAGGGCCATGGTGTTTCCCCGTCCGGCAGGGCCGTGTCTTTGTGGCACAGCAGCAGCAGCAGCAGCAGCAGCAGCTGCAGTAGAAATAGCAGCAGTAGCAGCAGCAGCCAATTTTTTGCAAAAAGAATGCTGCAGGAAGAACAGCAGCAGCAGCAGCAACAGCAACAACAACAACAACAACAACAAGAGCAACAAGGAAAAGAAACACGAATATGTACAAGTAGACATCTTTTTGTTGCCTTGTCTTGAAACATTTCATTTAACTTGCCACTCTGCTTGGGGGCAGGTGCGGCCGTTTGGGTTTTTGTGCTTGCTGCGAATTCTCCCAGCTTCTTTGGTGGTTTGGATACAAGTTCCGCACGTTGGGCACGCGTGGACATAGCGCATTGTTGGACGCAGGACTCCGTTCTCGACACGGAACTGTTTCCCACAAATGTGACGGTGGTCGATATTCCCAGACGCTATCGACGAAGTGACGACACCATTGCAAAAAGGGCACGTGTAGACGTACTGCTTAGACTCCTGGTCGGGTACTGACAAAGCCTGCGACGGGGTATCTCTTCCAGGAGGTTGCTGGCGCGCGCCTGGTTGTCGCGTAATCGCTTCCTGCTGGCGACGGAGTCGCTTACGAAGAGGCTCCAGTCGGGCCACTGCTGACGTGGCACTGGTGCGTTTGTTTCTATGTTCTGCGATTGCTTCCCATGTCTCGCGGAGAATTTTTCGACGGTGCAGCGTCTCACGGACAGATTGCAGACGTTGTATGGTAGATTTCGCAGCTCGCTTACGCACAATCGCTTGCACGACAATAGCACGGCAAGCATTGCAAGTTTGCCTGCCATCTTGTCCACCGCCCGGGCGTCGTTTGTTATAATGGGAGAATTGCTGCGTAGGTAATTTTTGGTGGCAGCGTGCACATGTCCATTTTCCTTGTTTTCGACAATGCAGGCATACCCTCCTCTCTGGCTTGCTTGCTTTCCATGCTGGCACCGTGAAATATTCTTTTGTGAGCTTCTTCGTGCAAGAAAAACATTGTTTCGTTGCATCACAAGATAAGCAAACTCTGTAAAGACTCCACCGGGGGTTTTGATGCTTGCTTCCAAAATGGGTAGCCGCATGCCATAAGCCACACTGTGCGCATCGATATGGTGTGCCGGCCTCGCGCTTCTGCGCTGTGCATTCTTTGCACACGCGGTAGGTTTCCTGTTTCCACTGTGCCTTGGTGAATGCGTCTTTGCGTTTTATCTCCCCACATTCTTGGCAAGGCCGTTCCTCCAAATATTTTTTTCGCAAGGCGTCCCAATCGACCGGCTCTTGCTTCCACACGTCAAGCAGAAGTTGCCGTCCGAGCGGCAGGCCCTCTTGAAAAGGCGCCAGCGGGAACGGACGGTAGATCAAGATCTTCTGCCGTGTGCGGCAGCGTGTCATCCCAATGTACGCCGCTATTGGGTCAGCACCGACCATGTCAACGATCACGCCCGGCTCTATTGTGCTTCCTTGCGCACCGTAGAACGTGTCAGCGAAGTCGGGCGCGATGGGAAATTGGTACCGGGTGACTTTCAATTGTGGGTTGGTGCGGCCCGCGTCTAGAAACCACTGTGCACTTTGTATGCTGACCGGGAAGACGTTCTCTTGCTCGATGCCTGGAATTGTCCAACGTGTTCGTGTTTCAAAACGCACAAAGATATAATCAGGGAGTTTGTTCCAAATTACAGCGCCATCTGCCGCCACTGTTTCTGTATCAATGCGTGACCACCCGCAAATGGTTCCATGACACCCTTTCAAGATCTTGAAATCCTTCCGGTGGAGGTGTTCCCGCGCTTGTACAGGCATACCAATGCACAGCGGAAGGACGCCGTATCGATTCCCGCAATCAGCATCACTGCGTTGCAGCCATGTGAGCTTGTCTTGGGCGATGTCGGGCTTCTCGTGCAAAGCTCGCGATGATACCTTATCCGTAGCCACTGCATAATAGATGATTTGCCCATGCTGCCGCGCCCATTGTTCCGCGCGAAGTTTATTCACGTGGCACTTCACCCCGTTCGTGTGGAAAATCCCCCGCGCCATGCTGAAACCTTCTACGAAGCGAGGATCGTCTGCGTCCACAGCAACTAGACGCTTGGTATCCCGTTCAGCGTGACAGATTGGACATTCGTACCTGAGAATCGCTGTCGCTGCGGAGGCGTTTTTGTACAACTGATAACATATGTTTTCTTGACACATAGGCCGTTGAGTCCTAGCGCACCAACTTCCTGGAACCTTTGTTGGTCGACCATGCAAGAATGCATGGTTGTCTTCGGACAAGTGCCCCACGCGAAGTTCTGCTTGCAGGTCTTGGAGCCACACGTCTTGGGTTCGTTCGCAGCGCACCAATTCGGTAACTCCTTGTAAGCCACCCTGTGCGCTGGAGGCCCATACGAGCTGTTGGCCTTGCAAACTTAATGGCAGCTTCTTAGATGAAACGCCTGTTACAAGCTGCCATGGGATTTGGCCGAGAAACGTTCCACGCGGCGGAGGTAACTGCCACAAGTCTCCAGACAGAATGACGTTGAGCCCACCAAAGGGTGCAACGCAGTTGAGGTTCTGCTTACCATATTTTGTTGCGGAGACATCTAAAACAAGTTGGCGACATCGAGCCTCGAGACGTGCTAACATCTCGGCACTCACCATGCTGATTTCGTCGATCAGCAGCCAGCGCCACTGCACGGCGTGTTGTGCAAGATCAAGAATCCGCTGCGCGTCGACGTTGTGATCGTTGCCGTGCCAAGCCAACCCCAATGCTTGATGCATAGTTTCGCCGTCCAAAGGCTCGGCATTGACAGCTTGAAATGCGACAACTTGAAATTCCTTTCCTGGCGTCCATCCAAGGCACTCCTCGAACAAATCGCGCCGTGCTATGTTCAGCACGTATGACTTACCTGTGCCTGGGCCGCCATGAAGCGCCCAGCGCAACGCTTCGGTATTGGTGTCTGCCGTGCCGCCGCGCTCTTGTCCGGACACAGCTTCATGTTGCACCCGGGCGCAGATGGTTTCGATGAACGCTAGCTGTTCCGGATTGCATTTGCTCGTTCCGCGCAAATCGCGTAGGAAGGCATCGACTTTCTCACATGTTGCTCGTGCCTCGGCTTCGCACGTGCCCGGCGTGGGAATCTTTCGGACTACAGCTCTGTCGGCTTTTTTCGTGTTTAAAGCTTTGACAGCCCGACGAACTGCGGCTGGATCGTATGCGTGGAACGTATTGTTGCTCTGCGTCTCTGTGTTCGTCAGTTTCTTATTGGTTGTTTTTGCCCATGTTGCTTCCGCTTGCGCCGCTGCTTCTTCGTAGCTTGCCAAAACTTTATCGTAAACTTTTGGACCTGATTCTGCTTTATGTGCAGTAGTCCTTTTGCCTGTTTGCCGGAATGACGTTTTTAGAGCTGTCGGCAGGCTAGTGGGAGTAACTAGAAGCGGTTCATCAATGCCACTGTCGTCACTGTTCGCTTCCTCCGCACCGCTGGGACGGACACGGTAGACTGATAGGAAGTTGCCGGTGCACCGTTTTGTTTCTTCGCATGGCAAATGCGTCAACCACATGCGCAGAGCTTGTACCCAAGTTTCCGTTGGCGCTTTCAAACGGCCTACAAACGGAACATTGGCGCTAGCATTGTTCGCATCGAGGGTCCACGCGCGGAAATAAGTCATGGTCAATCTAGCGTTTACCTCTTCTTGACCCGCTTTCTGCAGGGGCACGGGCGAATTTTCAAAGTGCGGGCAACAGGGGCGACGCCGACGTAGTAGATAACAACGGTGTCGGAGCTGTGCTGTTGCCGTTACATCTTCGAAACATATTCGACCCGGCGTAGTTTGCACAGCCAGGCAATAATGAGTCCCTGGTTGCAGGTGCAACTTCTTGTCGGGATCTGTTTGCTTTTGTATAAATTTGAGACCTGCTGCCGTCAACGAAACGTCCCAGCTACTACGCTCTTCCAATTCCCATTCGCGTTGCGTCGTAGGTACACGAGCCATGGTGACTGCCCAATTTGCAACGAACTCATACGGCGACAGCCACCACACCTCTGCTGTCTTGGGCCGGTGCCCATAGACTTCTGCAATGTCAAATGTTCCTAGGTGTCGGACACCAGACGCTTGTCTTCGAGTCCATTTCACGGTGCTGCGTCGCATGGACGACGCCGCATCATCGCCGTTGTGATATTTTGCAACAAAGTCTGCAAAAGCAGCTCCAGGGAAGCTTTCGAAGGTTGCTGTTGTAATGCGTTCGGCTGAGACGACCGTATCGTCGCGATGGTAGGCGCGCAGGTTGCAACATTCGACCTGTCCTCGCACCACGCCTTTGAGATACGCATCGCTGAGGAATCGGTTTGCATGTCGCTTGCCTAGGTCATCTAATGGTTTCCGCGCATGCTGCACATGCAACTGTTCGTGTCCTTTTTGGAATTCTCTAATTTCTCCATGTCCCATCGGCTGGCCCTTGGAGCAGTAATCCGCGCAGTAGCCGGTTTGTGCGTCTTGCGCCCGCTGCGCCGCCAATGACATCTGCTGCCGTTCTTCGGCTGTCAATTGGTCTCCGCAAGTTGGACATGAATATGGAAGCCGGTATGGCACCTGCACATCGCAATTTGCACCCCGTAGTCCTGCCAACATTGCTGGTGCGCAGCCATTTAACCACTCATGCCCACAGGGTCCATGCAAAGCTCCTAAGCGATTTTTTCGTCCACCGCTTGGCATCCCGTACGTTTTCAACTTGCAAGGACATAATACAGTCGGTTGCGCACACAGCCATTGCGTGCGGGGAAAATCACTCTTACACAGCCCTGGCCGGTCACTCTTTTGGCAGCCTGCCAATGGGACGCGACCTTGGCTAGTTTCATTGTAAGGATGGTAGTGATGCTGTTTCAGAAGCTGCAGTTGGACGACGTCTTCTGCCATGTAGCGCCGTCGCCAGTCTGCAGCTTCGTTTTGGGCGTTATCGGTTTCATTGGCACGTCGGAGTTGATATGTCGGAATCGTTGTCATCGTCACATCCAGCTCGTGCGTTGGCCAGGATGCTTCCGCAGCGGCGATGCGGCCTTCCATGTCTTCATTCGATTGGCCCACGTAACTCGCATGACACACATGCGCATTATATGCTTCGTATTCTGCGCGCAACGCAGCCAACTTGTCGTGCGAAAGCCGGAAGATTTCCTCTAGTGAAGTATGTTGATGCAAACACTGCACAAACACTTGCATGTGGCCATGTTCCGCCCCGCTGCTCTTCTGAGCTTCGAGGGATATATATACTGCGTCCACGCGACCGAATATGCCACCGTTTGCTTCTGCGTTGCTGCCGCGAAGGTCTTGACACGGCTCCAATCCACTGAAGCCATTGCAATCTGGACAATATGGACACACACGAACGCCGAAGAGATGCTTCAACATCAAATGCGTCAGTACCCGAAACCCATCCACGGCAGCCAACGGATCCCGCGCTAGAACTTCGCGGCGTTCTGCCCAAGACATCGGTAAAGTGAACTCATGCTCGAAAGGTCCCATGGCAACAGCATCCTGCAAGCCCAAATGCGGGAAAAACATTTCCCCAGCCGGGAAATCTTGCCCTATGGAGGCGGCGCGAACAGGGTCACAGGAGCGAACGCGCGTCATCCGCACAAAAAGCAGCTGATGCGCTTCATCTGGCGTAAATGTCACAAACAACGGCACTCCGTACCGGATACGCATGGCTTGAATCTCGAACCGCATCCTTTTCCGAGCTTCTTGGGTCCCAGGCAGGCCTTGGGCTGTATGCCGCATGTTGTTTAAAAGTTTTCGGGCCATAGGCTTTAGCCCTTGCACATAGCGGAGCTTCGCGACATCACCCTTGACGGGCCGTGGTTGCCCATTGACATCTATGTAGGAACCTTTCAAAGCAAGGAGCAATTGCTGGGCAGCCGTTTCGACATGGCGCCCTGTCGGTTGCACCCATTCTTGGGTGTCCTCATCAAAGAATGTGCGGGAATAGGCGTCTGTAGTGCGTGAAAGGTTCAGCGCCGATCGAAAAAGCAAATTCCAGGATGTAAAGCCAAAAACCCAGTCACGACTGACTTGGGCTTCGATGCGCCGCGCCATGGCGCGCACCCACGTGTTCAACTCCACATATGGATCATTTGCGTGTCTTCGTGGCCGTTGTCGCTGGCTCCACTTAGGAACATCGGGTAAGCCAATGCCGTACGGGAAGACGAATGGGAAAGCCAACGCAAAATACAGCGGCTGGAACTGGTCCATAAGTTTGGTCCCCGTATACAACGTCACTTCGGGCAGAGGCCGTGCAGATGCTGGCTCAGCGCGGGCCACAATCTCCTCCAATGCAGACACATGTTGAGCATTCACGTCTTGGCATCCACCACTTGTCTTTTCCAGGACAACTGCATTGGGTTTCAGCATGTGACCAAATTCTCGTCTTGCCTCTTCGGCCGTCATTTGATCATTCACCGGTGTGGCAGCCTTTTGGCGCAACACCTGATCTAGGCTCCCATCGTTGTCAAGCAACGCAATGATTTCAGCCGGCACATCATTCTCGGGAAGCATCTCAGCGCGCGTTTCTACGACTGCCATATCTAGACCTTGATATGCCGGATGGCTACGCGCAACCATGGCAGCAATCAGCCCTACAACGACCCGGCGACGAACCACGGCCTGGTGTATAATCTGTTGACGTATTGCTTCTTTATCTGTCTTGTCACCGATTTTTATGATGACGGCTACTTTGTCACTTAGTTCCGTACCAACGTGCGGCAGCATATTCACGGAAGCCTTGGTGGCCGGGGTTCCTAGACGCTCGAATTCTGCTAACAGGTCTTCCCAGGGGAGCGGGAATGTCGTGGCATTGCCCTTTGCACACAGACGATGTCGATTCATGAGCGCATCTTGGGCTAGACTGCGATCTTGGAGATACCGCCATTCAATGCTGAAACAAGTTAATGCAGTCATGCAAGGACTTGCGCATAATAATTCCAACATCGTGCATTCTTGTGCATATAGTTCTCTCGGCGGATGCCCCAGGAACAAGTCGTTGCTCAGTGCCTCTAGCGGTTTCATTCTCTGTCGATATATCCTGGTGCGGCAAGACGTGCACATAGGTATTTCGCAATGTGTGCACAGCCGATTCGACGGACAACGCTGTATGCATCTTTTATCTTCTGGGCATGCAAGCACACTCATATTATATGGGGCGCAAGCGATGGTGCAGGTCCACTGCGCCAATTCGGATTGCAAACCGGGTTGCGCATCAGCAGGCAAGGTCGTCACATAACGTGCGTGATACGTGCTCATCCCCAACAAAGCTTCGAGCATCTCAGGAACATGGTCGAAGAACAATCCAGTGCGTGGCTCGTATGCTCGTAGCCATGAAATTTGTTGGTTCGGAAAACCGTCCACGAATGGGAACCTACGCGCGCACACGAAGCAGATCGCGGTACCGACCTGGTGACCCAGCATGTTAGAACGGAATCTCCGCAAACAGCGTCGGTCAATAGAACAGGTCGCAAGGGGACCAGACTGTTGGCAGCGCTGCGTTAGCAGGTCTTGATATGCCTGGAATGTCGCTTGCGGAGGGCCAACCTGTGATGACCACCGTAATGCCAAGTCATGTAACGCAATCGCATGATGCTGAGCAACGTGTTCTGCGAGCGCCGCCTGTGTCGCACACTCGAACCCGCAGCTTCGAAATGCGCAATGGTAATCCGGCAAGTCATATGCCATCTCAGGGTCAGTTGCGGCATGCAGGCGTTCCGGCAATGTAGGCTTGTCTGAAAGAAGAGCTGTTGCGTCTTGCATTGCAAAATCATACGCTGCCCGAGGGTCTCTGTTTCCTTGCGATGGCTTGCAGAGCCGCAAAGGATAGATATCTTCTGCGTCAGTTCTAGCGCCTTGCAGCGAACCAGTTCCGGATGGTGGTGCTGTTGTTGATCCGACCGGCGGTGCTTTGTGGCGCACACGGCGAGGAGGCACGTTCATCTCTGTTTTGCGCAGTGGGCTTGCACTTGCATCTTGCTGCGTTGCCTTCCGTTTTCGCGCATTACTGCTCAGATTCACTTCACTGGTACTAGTTGGTGCTTGTCTCTCGGCTGATGTGCTGTGCAAAGAATACGTAGCAGCTGCATCTATTGCAGCCGTCTTATGACCGACATTTTCCTTCTGAGCTGTCTCCATTGAACCATCTGACAATCGTTTCCCAGCACCTTGCGTCTGTGTAGTATAGAAACCGCGCCACTGATTTGCTAATCTACGCGCGTGATGCATGCCTGCATCTGCAAAAGTTAACCCTGCCTGCAGAAGGGTGTGCAAAATTATTCCCAGCGCATCTAAGTTCCACCAAGCATCACTCACTCGATGCGCGTCTGTCTCGTCAACTTGCACATCTGCGCCTCTTTGGTCACAGAACCGCTGTAAGATTTCACGCACTTGCTCAATCTGCGGTGCGCGCAAATCGGTCGCTGCGCCTATGCCGGCAGCGCAGCCAATTGTTCCAAACGAATTTGTCGGCGGCGCTACAGTGCACGTTGCACTCATGTCATTTTGTTTGCTACCTTGGGCTGCTGTCTGCGAGTCGCCACTTGTGAACACAGGCCGTTCTGCTGGGTTAGCAGGCAACAAGGCAGCGTAACGGCCGTTTTTGTAGCGATAGAGGCGGAAGACTGGCACCAGCAAGGTGTCATGTCGACCGATGGTGTAAACATCGAGCGGTACACTGAGGTCAGTGGTAGTTGAATCGTACACATGTACCTCAGCACTCACCTCACCTCGGCTCCCACTTGTGAAAAAAACACTGCCTTCGCGAGATGATGCTGTAAATCGCAGGCTTCGTCGCCTTCTAGTTGCTCCGGTTCTAAACTTGCCTGGCATGTTCTACATAGGTGAAAGCGTGCATCCTGACGCGCAAGCAAATCTGGACACTGTAACATATATCCGTGAAAAATCAAATTTGCTAGCAGTGCATCAAGCCAGGATGTCGGGAAAGTCGTGCCATGAAGGTACCACGCCATCTTTGCAAATACGGTTTCTGCTCTTTGATCTGCTTGCTGTTCTAGTCCCTCCTTGCTGCAACTCAGCTTCTCAGGTGTGCTACCGCTTCTCTGCGATTCTCGCTGCAGAGCATTGAGTTGTGATCCTGTCGCCATGGACTCTGTTTCTATCTTCATTGCGTTGGTGGCCGCTACGGTACGGCTTCTCTTTTTCTTTGGTTCGGTCTCACGCCCAGTGATCGGGAGCAAGCTATCAAAATGATACCCTCTACCCCGAACAGACGTGTGGTTATAAATGTGTAGCTGCAAAACAGGCTGTTGTGGGTACCTATGGCCAAGGTTCACTGCAATTTTATTCCCGTCTGCACCTGCAGCGTGCTCACCAAATCTGTCATGCACATGAAGTAGCACATTCGTGCGCGCAACAACGCGAAACCAATGGAACAAAAAACCTACAATTTTGGGGCCATCCCGATGCGCATCCAAGAATGGGAAAAGCCCATTGCTGCCTGGAGCCACTTCGTCCCCAATCTCTTGAATCAAATGCTTTCTGCATGCAGCTGCAACGCGTCGCCTGGCTGTGACATCTGCAGTCAAGTTATGAGGCAAAATGTGTTCATACGACAAGCACAATATGAGGGAATCGATCAAGCAGTTATTCACGCCGTGTGACAGCGCTTTCCGCCACATGAACCCTTCGGATGCCAAAGTCTGCAATGCTTGGGTGTCGGTCTTGCTTTGGTAAGGGGTGTTTTGCTGGGCGATGTCGCACAGTCGCTCCGCAATTGCAACACAACAGCGCTCTGTCGCACATTGGCGCAATTCTTTCCAGCCGTCCCAAGTTGGAACCCAACTCTGTCCAAGGACCTTTACTGCGTTATCTGGTGTGTCAACTCGAGACAGTACGAGTGCTTCTACCAGCTGCCGTGCGTCGTCCCAAGGAAGTTCTACGTCTGCTGCTTCCTGTGGCTGCACCTTCAGGCCTTGTTCGTCATAGTTTCCCATTCCTCTTGGACGGTTTATTCCTCCCGTGCACAAAGTCAGCATTAAATCGTTGAATGCTTCCTCATTCGTATGTAGCAACCCTTGGTTCTGAAACGTTTTGCTGAGACATCTTACTGCAAAAGTGTCCTTTACCTCCGCCAATAAACCATCGTCAGTTGCATGGCAAAGTGCACAGTGGAAGTGCCCGACTTCCCAAGATCCGTGGCTATTGCACGCTCCGCGACCACAGGTGTAGCAGTGTGACACATACTCATCACTCAATTGTTTTGGGACATATACGCTTTTATATGCTAAACACATGAAACACTGCAATTGTTCTGCGCCGCCTCCTTGAAATCGCGCAGCCATTCTTGACTCTACCTTTTCTGCGGGAAGTGTCTCTACAGTTTGCGAAAAACGACGCTGCAAGAATTGAATCCTCCCATGCAAATGATCCGCCAACCCCAGCAGCTGGGGAGACACAAGTGGCTGATGGTACAAAGTGTGCTGCCGTAATGAAGAAACACAGCTGGCACCTTCGCATTGTGTCTTACACATCTTCAACCTAAAAACTAAGTTTCGATTAGTGTATGTTGAGCTATGTGATTGCTCTACCTGTTTGATTGTCCTACTTTGCCACGTGCGGGTGATTGCACAAAAGCTAGTCTTCTTGACATGTTCCCTTTGTTGTCGTGGTTGCTTTTTTTGGTTGCTGCCTTTCCAAGCTTCATGTTCATGAGACTGTAATGTTTCTGCTCCACCTCCTCGAAATCGGACAGGTTTCATATGGGTATTGGGTCTTGTTGTACTCCAACACTTTCTAGTTTCCGCATCCTTCTTGCCTGTTTTGAGTTGCAAACAACTCCATGAACTCACATGCTCCACATTGTCCTTTGTCTTCCTTCTACTTGGGGCTAGATTCTGAGTACCTAACTTGCCATTGACTATCGAGCGCAGACTCCTCCAGATTCTCTGGGCGCGTGCTTTGCGTGCATGCCCCACCCAGCGACATGGCAAAATCTTCGTTCTTATAGGTTGTATGGCTTTACATGTTTGTTGCGCAGCTTTCCATGACTGCATGGCTTCTACAGATGGCGTTATGTCTTCGTCGAAGCACCACTTGCAAAAGAATGAGCTGCCCTCCCAGTTTCCACATTGATTGCAGTTAGCGCGCTTGCAGCCGGAACACTTCGCAGAATATATTTTCTGACAAGCAAATGGCACATAGTCAGGAGCACAGCACGAACACAAGAAGCAAACTGGCGCGCTTGGGGTAGATAAAATAGAAAAAGAAGACGGAGAAGTAGAAGAAATTGAAGTCCAAACTGGAGCCGGTCTGCCCCCAATACATCGACCACGAAGAGGACTGGCATCATCGGCATGATAGTGTATACCATTCTTGTACTTGGTGTGGTTGGCGCATTTCAAATACTGGGTGTGCGTTTCCTTGATGCTGGTGTTGTTTTTACAGTGGGCGCAAGCTTCGACTAGCACAGCCTTGCATTTCTTTTGTTGTCGTTTACTATGACTTTTGGCATATATGTCGGTGGACACAGCTTCAGGCATACCTTTGTGGCTACGCTTACGCAATTCATAAGTTCCATGGCATTTTTCGACTGAGTGTATTGTCAAAGAATGCCTGTGCGGACCTTGCATGCCACAAGTGCTACTGGTGATAGCTTGCACATGTTGTAGCTTTTTTTGTCTTGCTTTTATCCAGCGTGTGTTGTTTTTGCTGCCTTGTTCTTTTCCTTTGAGGCTGCGGCTGTGGGTTGGCTGGTCAACAATTTTATGCGAAGCCCTCGTAGGATTTTTTTGGGCCACTGACATGCATGTACACAAGTGACAGGCGCATGGATTTATAGAAATTTTGAAACGGCATGCAGCACGAAAATAAGCTACATCAGTGAGCGCCAGAAACTGTTGGAACTGCATTCCTATTTTGGACACCTTTGCAACCATTTCATTTTGCAGCGTCACTTGGTAGCGAGAATAAAGCTTTAAGAAAGGCACTGCCCACTCTTGATAACGAGAAAGGACAGTAGTCAACCCTGTGCATGCTTTAGCATACCGAACCCGACGACATTGGGTACAACCTAATGCGCTAGAATCAACATGTTTCTCCTTTGTATCGGACATGGACCTAAACGCGAATTGATGTAGTTTTGTGTGCTGGGGAATGAGTTGCAATGATGCTTCTGGACGATTATGGCTCGCCGGGGCCTGGGGGCGATTGTGGCTCGCCGGGGCCTGGGGGCGATTGTGGCTCGCCGGGGCCTGGGGGCGATTGTGGCTCGCCGGGGCCTGGGGGCGATTGTGGCTCGCCGGGGCCTGGGGGCGATTGTGGCTCGCCGGGGCCTGGGGGCGATTATGGCTCACCCGGGCCTTTTGGTGATTCTGGCTCACCATTACAGCCTCTTTTCATCACCTTAGTGAAAATCTATCTTGTGAAATGCAAGACTGATGATTTTGTTAGGGTAAGGTCGGTGCTTGCGCTTTGCACGTGAACCAGTTGACTGGCCCCGTCTGCTACGGAGCAGACACCACCTTTGGGGAAACAAACCACATTGATCTGATGCAAACAAGGTTGGGTTATCGGAAATCGTAAGGTGCGTACAACGATGTAGACGTTCAGCTGTCTTTGCGTCAGACTGCCTCAAATTTGACCCACACTTAACTCCACAAAAAATAAAACTGAATAAAATACATCTAGCCAACCCAAGGTTCGCGCGTCACACGCACGTGTCGCATTTGTAGCCTCCCTTTGTACTTTCATCTGTCTAAGCTTGGGAGCCGTATGTTCAGATGCTTTTTGAGAACCGAACTTTGGAGCCACACTACTCAGATTGGTTCAAACTTGGTTTTGCCTCAGTGAGGCGAGCATCCATTAGACACGCAAAACCCTACTTTGCTGAACCTAATTCATTCCTGCGTCAACTTCACTCGCACGCAGCAGATCGTAACAGTCCAGAAGACATATAACTCTTCAGCTCGTGTAACCTTTTGGAAGCCACATACATTTTACACACAAGGGTAAATTTAGAGCTAAGGTTCAAACCGCAATGGCCTGTATGCTTTCTAGCCCGCGGCGCGTCAGGTCTTGAAAGTTGCTGACCTTCGGCTGAAAAAAAGAATCCCTCCAACACAAAAGCTCAATCTTGACTACACAGCACGCGCGCGATGCGCATGCCCAAGGTTCCTACGCAAAACGCGTGCGGAGATGGTGGCTCCCCCCGTCGTTTTGTCAATCTAAGGTGGGGAAGCCAAAAACTGCAACATTCACAAGTCATAACTAGCTGTCTATGGCCTACGTACTTGGTGTCAAATTGGCCCTTCTTACAGCATATCAGGTGCTTTGGATGCTTTCAATTAAAAAGTCTTTGATTTTCGGACAAGTTTGCTATGTCGAATGAACGGCCACGGTAGTCAGTTAGTATGTTGCAGCAACTTTTTTTCCGTCTTCTAAATGTGCAACATCTCCTTCCATTCCTTCTCATGGAAGCACATACGGCATCGGGCTACGCTCTCAGAGCTTCGACGACCTATAGCGTGACAGCCAAAGGGTACGATATCACGGAACCTTCAACAGAATGCTTCCGCGATTGCCACACTAAACATCAACGGAGGTCTCCAAATTAGCTTTGTCGCAGTACTGTGCCACATTCGACATCAACGATACAATTCTTGGGTATCCAATCTGCAATATTATAAATCATAAGCAGAACATACGATGCTTATCATACTCACACATGTATAGATTCGATCCTATGTTAGATATATGGATGTGAATGGTATTTTCCAATAATAATGGATGGTATTTTCGGGTTTCCCATTCACATTCCAATATTTCGTATTTTTATGGATGTGAATTGGATGTGAATGCCTAGCCAAATCAACCAACCCTCGACGCATTCGTGGATCATTTAGCTTTAGAAAACAACGGATTTCCCTGCTGCTAGGATCTGAAAACCAGCCAAATGTTGAGGATGAATAAAATTGATCTGCAACTTCATGTGTGACAAACTTAATGCCATAAACTTGCTACAAAACATACTCCATTTGCCCAATGACTTGGAAAAACCCCAGAAATAAAAACACATTACTAGCCATACCAATACATACTTCTATATATATATATATGTATGTATTTGTCTATCTATACATATATATATATAGTATAGGAAAATTATTCAGCCACAAACTACTTGGATTTTCACATTTTTTTTTTAAAACCCCTATATTGCCCTCTGTATTTGGATATATATCTGGAGCATACATCCGTAACATTAAATTTTCCCACTGGTTTCATTTTTTTTGTGAGTTGCAACAACAATGCTAGCCATATCCACATATGGTGCCAGGGCCATATGTTATTAAACAAAAAAACATTATATGTGGGTAATAACATATGGCACCATATGTGGGTATGAACTACACTTGTTATGTTATCAAACATGTGGGTATGACATCAACACTATACTATACAATTTGCATCAATGCATCAATCATGTCCTCTTGATAAAATAGACGGGCAGGTTTGGTACACCCATAGATCAACCAATGGAAAAGTTGGACACATCCCATTGTATGCCCATTGAATTACCTTTTTTACATTCCCATGATTTGTAGGATGTCCCAGTTGTAAATAAATACGAGTATATTAATATATATATATATATCATATATACCATCTGGTAATCAAATGTGGCAACGAAAATAATTTCCCAATTTATACTGTAGTGTATACTGTAAATCCCGGATTTCAAGTGGATTTTCCAGCCTGCCACGTTTTATTAATGGAGGGTAAATCCATAGTTACCCGTGAATAATCATTAATGTATCATGAATCTTCCATGGATCTTCTATTAGCCCTTAAATTCCCATGATCTCCCAATTGCCCTCTGGTAAATTAACATAGACCCTGGCAGATAGGGGTCGGAAGAATAGTTTCCATTAAAACTAGGTTATTTTCAGGGTCTATGTTAATTCACCAGTCTATTATATCCTACTTATATCCCAAT